ATCATTCGAGATATTTACACTGGCATCATCATAGGCTATCCAATCGGTCGCAAGAATACCGTGACGGTGATCAACAGCTTAAAGCACTTTGCCGGCAGACGGAAAAGAAAGCAAGCCTATTCGGACGACGCGCCGGAGTTCATCCACGCATGTTCTGAACTGAAGATCCCTCATGACCTATCGCGTCCGGGCAAGAAACAGAACGATTCGCTTGCCGAACGCACGAATCAGTTCATTGTGGACCAAACAACAGCTTGTCTAGCACATGCAGGACTTCCAACATGCTATTGGATATACGCTATCACTGCGCTGTGCCACCTGATGAATGTCGAAGAGATTAATGGTTCGAGTGCGTGGTTTCGATTGCATGGTGAACATTTGAAGGGTGAGAAGATCCCATTTGGCGCATTGGTTGAGTTCAAACCGAGCGATGCGAGGGGAGACAAGAGAGAGATTCGAACCGAAAGGGGAAACTTGTATCTTTGCTGGTTGCAACCTGAGTTCTGGTCTTCACTGGGCACGAAAATATCGGCCTGGGCTCTCACAAGCTTCGCCGGAGTCGACCTTTCAATAAGGAAGGCGAAAATTCCACCTCGACTACGCCAACCGCATCGGACCGAGAGAATTGTTCTGAAGATACCAATTTCTTCTGCCCATTCAAGAGAAATACAAGAGGAGGAATGAGACTATTGAAGGTGTTGAGGAAATCAGTGGGGAAGATGATAGAGGCGTTCACTTAGAGCAGCCGGCTGAGGATGAGGACCCCGATCCTACTCTCTTGCAAGATATAGATCAGAGACAACTTGATGAGGTCGAGGAGATCGCTGGGATCGTGCATGACGAGAAAGGTGAGGACGTCGAAGTCCTCGAGCCGGGGAGCAAGGAAGACAAAGACACTGTTGAGGACGTCACCGATCTACCCCATATATCAACAGGGAAGGCCAAAGATTGTATTATCTACAGGAATGATCTTGGAAAGACGGTCAAGCTTGATGCTCGTGGAAGACCATATCCAGTCGGTGAAGATGGATATGTTGATGAAGAAGGAAAGATACAACCAAACAAGAAGGATGGCACTGGTAGCTCAAAGGACGCCGCACCTGCAGAAAGTACAAAGGTCAACGCTCCGAGCGTGAAGAGAATCAAAGCGATGCTCAAGGAAAGATGGGGTGGTGATCAATGGTTGTACAACTGGGGCATACGGAAGAACTCAAATAAGGTCAAGAATCCTGTCGAGGGAAAGTTCTTGGGGATTGGACGTGGATCATTGTCAATCCGTTCGATCAGATGGGCTGACTTTTTGGGTTGCCTTGACGGATGGGATGTGCAAATGGCTGATGCGGGGAGGCCTTGGTTACGGAGGACTGGATCACCAACAAGGTGATCATCTACGCGTACGACGCGGAGTATGCGAGATTCATTTGGACCAATCGCATGTACGTCAGCTTGCGAAGGAACTACCAGGAGAGCATCAAGAAATTTCGCGAGGACGTCAAGAACGGCGTGAACGCGACGCCTGTCCTCGAATCCTTCATGGCCAAAACGGACAAAGAGTGCAAGCTCTATTACAAACAGTTCTCCAACTGCATGCCGCGACATGACGAGGCCGCACAGGATCGGAGGCGTCACCAAGATCAAGAATGTCTTCGACGAGAACCTTCCGATGGATGAGCAGGTTGTCCTTGAATTCGAAACGGCTCGATATGGTCTCTACAGAAACTGGGCGCGTGCGGTGCAGCAGCAGCCCGGGGAGACCCGTGGGCGGAGCGGACTATGGCAGGACCTGGATCCCAACCAGAAGAAGTGCGCTGCAAAATCATGATCCCGGAGGGCACAATCAATTGCTACCAATGCGACAACCTCAACGAGCGCATGCCCGACATCAAAAAGATCGCAAGGGTCATTCGATTGCAAGAGATGGCCAACAGTCTGGGAATGCCGCTTTCAATGGACCAGATTGAGACCCAGATCTTGACGCAGCGCAAGGATGCAAGAAAGCCGTGCTCCGAACGAAGGAATACAACACCTTGTACGAGCGCCTCATCAACGACCCCTTCTACGCTTACACGGCCGCGCGGGGAGACCTGACGCCTTCTGCTCTCGAGTTCATCGAGAAGGTTGCACGCTGTATCATCCCCAGCTTTGAGCGGACGAAGGAGATGATTCAGGGCAGCGTTGCCGTGCCCAAGTACTCCGCACGGCTAACGCTGGTGCCACCGAGTGAGGGCGTCAAGGAAATCGACTCCAAGGATGTGTACGTCGTGCACGGAGGCAGATTCCTGGTTGCTTTGATTTGTAGAGATCCCTGGCATTCCGTTTCCTGGTCGAACTGCTCCTCTCCCTGCAGTTTTTGGGGTGACGCGTAAGCCCATCCCTCAGCTCCGGGAAACCGGTGGCCAATGGCAAGATTGGCAATGGAGCCAATTGTACTGAGTCTGGGGCCAGTCCTGGGACTCGTGGTAAGAGCTCCCGCAATTGGGACTGGCGCTGCGTGAGGAATCGCTGCAAATATTTGGTGTCTTTGGCTGACATCCCTTCAAATTCAGAATTCATTATACTTGTCACTTCATGTTGGCCGAAGATCAATGTACAGGAATGAGTACGCCTCGCGAGAGCGATTGTCAGCAGAGGCGGAAGACCTTAACTGGCTGTTGCTCGTATACAATTGCTCATGTCCTGCAAAACGACCTCATGCCGCTCGGGTTTCTTGGCTGTTTCATCCCTTACATTTGTCCTCCTGTTTTACTTTCGGGCACGGGGGGTGTAGTTTGCAACGTGATGTATTTATCAACCATAACAACCCCAACTGCATGAATGTCTCACTAGCGTAGCTCCGACTCACCCGCTACGCATGGCTCAGGAAAAGCGCGCTTTGTGCAGGGTTTAAGGTTGACCCTTCTAGGTTGTTTAACCTGTTCTATAAAAACCTTAAACCAGCAAAACTCCCTAAAGAAAACCCTAAACCCACTCTAAACCAGCAAGAGACTATCCCTCAACTCTAAACCTACCCTAAACCAACCCTAAACCCAAACACAAATCCCGAAACCCACCCGAACCCCACTGCGCTAGTTTGTATTACTCTGTTGTGATGCTGGTTGGAGTGGGTTTGTATTATTCGCGCGCTAAACCAGCACAAAGCCATTGCTAGTAAGCCCACCTCAAACTTCAAACCACCCCCACTAAGCAAGCCCTATAGCTCCCTAAAGCAACCCCAAAACCAATCCCTAACCCCCCGTACACCAGCACTAAACCCAAACTAAACCCTTAACAAGCCCAAAGCAAACGCGACACCAACCGCCCCCTACCCCCCCCAAACAAGCCAAACCAACACTAAACCATCCCACCTAAACACAACCACAGCCTAAACCAACTCTAAACCAGCCCTAAACCCCTGAACCAACCCCAAGAAGCCCACCACAAACCAGCACCAAACCATTTAGCAATTAAGCGCAGCCACCCCCGAACTTGCCTTAAACACGCCTGGAACCCACCATGAACCAACCCTAGCCAACCCAAACCCACCCTAAACCCAGCCTCGTGAGAGTTAAAACGATGCTGGGGATGTTGACAGCGCTGGTGCAAAACGAATCAAACCACAGAAGAACGGGAGATCGCACCTGCCAGTTCCAAGACAGAAAATCCAGGAACAATCCAAAAACAAAACGGGAAGAATTCCAAAAACAAATCGGGCCCCCTTTTTTCTTTGACTTGCACTTCGGCATTGCAGCCCGGAGGCATCGTTGGATTGACCCTCAGACTTTCACCGAAGCATTGGAGCAGGGACTTCAACCAGAGCAGATTTGGCGGTTTGGTCAGAACACTTTGCAGCTTGCTCATCTTATGCATGGGTTCCATGACAGAGTCAAGGCAACTTTGATGCCTGGCCGAGAGCACCCATGGACTTTTATGCAGGTTGAGCTTGAGTACTTGGGTACACTTCGGCGTGCACGGGCATTCTGATTTTCACTGCATCAGAAACTCAATGGACGGGTTCATTTTTTGAACTTTGTCATGTCGCCACGTTCAGCCATTTTGTTCTACACTTCCAATCATGGCTGCAGGCGACGCACTGGACTTTCAATTCCCCAGATCAAGGGGAACTTCAGTACTGTGGGGCCCAGGCCATCAAAGCAAGACTTGGCTACTTTTCTGGAGAGGATATGGAATAGGCGCCACTTATACTTTTTTCTACTTGATGAAGGGTGGCACTTCTTCAACTTCTGACCCAGTGATGCTTCAATCAGTCACTTTGATCAAGGCAAAGAGCGACTTTACAATCAAGCGAGCCGTGAACCAGCGAGAAGTGGAACTTTGCCGGACAGACTTGTGGGGGAATCTCATGCACATCCACATGAACCCTGTGTGGCACGAGCAGGTGGGTAGACTTTCAAATGACCTCATCATGCCGTTGGACTTTTTGTACTGGCGTGCCAGACCCAAACTTTGAACAACGAGCTTCACACTTTTGCTTGAAACCAAAATAGAATACTTTTCATCAGACTGTGGATGGATTAAGTAATGAGTACTTTCCATCGGCGCCAGAGTTTTGCACGTTTAAAGGCCGACACTTTGGGTGGCGCCACGCATCGACTTCAATTAGATGCCAAGAAAACCTTCTCTGTAGTCAAAATTTTTGCACAGCTTTGCAAGACTTTACCTCGAGGAAAACATCTTTTGCAGATCAAACATTTGCCGCGTTGTGTGTGCAGACTTTCGTGTTGTCTACATTCAACTTTGTATCCAAGGGGGTGTGTCAAATATACATTTTTTTAATGTTTATGTTGTGACACAACTGCCACTTTGGTGGCTCAAGCTTCCACCAGAGAAAAGGTGCTCCGCCACTTCACATACTTCGGTGTGTTTTTGGTGAGGCTTTAGAGTCCTTGGAATTTTGCACTTTTGTTAGGTTTTGCTTCTTTGCTGCGTTGTTTTCTTGCATCGTCTTGCCTTTGGCATTTTTTGCTTGTGCTTGCCTCTTGCGCTTGGTTCTCTCGCAAAAGGCGATCCACGCCGGGCAGTTCGGAGCCCAGCCACTGCTGTCGCGGCGCTGGGGCCTCGGACCGTCGCGGAAACTGAGTTGCAACGTGCAAAACTCGAAAAACGGAGAACTTCGAAATCTCGTTTTCTTTTCGTCGAACTTCGCGGAGACGGAGAATTGCAAACTTCGTCTATCGCTGCGTTGAGTCGGAAACAGAAGGTTTCGGAATTTGTTTCAACCGCAGGCTTCGTGGTGCCGGGCACGCCGGCCGCATCGCTCGTTCTGGGCGCAGAAGTCGCCAAGGCCATGGCCCAGTGTGAAGTGCCAGCAGTGCCAGCAGTGCCAGCAGTGCCAGCAGTGCCAGCAGTGCAAGCCGCGCAAGCCGCGCAAGCAGTGCAAGCAGTACAACTTTGGCCCATTTGGCCCATTTGGCCCATCTGACCCATCTGGCCCATCTGGCCCATTTGGCCCATTTCTTTTTTTCTCGCCTTGAGCAAAGTCTGAAATGTAAGCACCTTGACGAGCTCACAGCTCAAAGCTTCCCGCACATTTGAAGGTGATTGGCTGCATGGGCATGCTGAAGGTGGAAGGGCGCATGGAAGAGGCCACATGGCGAAATGCCGACACGTGTGGAAGAGGCCAACACTTTTGCGCGAACCGCATGGCAGGCCTTGAAAGATTGGTCTTTCACTGGGTTCCTGTGGGCCGCAGGACGGATTGTTCACGGCCCATCGAAAATGCAGTGATCTCGTAGGAGTTCCGTCCCTGACGTACTTGGTGCAGAATTTGTGCTTGCAGGAGGGCTGTGCAATTGATCCAACATGTTGACGGCTTGACGGCTGCACAGCTTGTAGTTCTTGGGTTCCCGAGCTCTCGATTCTTTGGTTAGGTGGCGTACCAGCGGCTGGATGGCATCGTGTTCAACATTTTGAACCAAACAAAGATGCTCTTCACAGCCTTCTTCGTGTTCCTCATCGTGGGCCGCCCGGGGCATAACCTCGAAGCGAGAATGCGAGCATGCGGAGCAACGAATGCTTGAAAAAGGAGAAATGTTAATTGTGAGAATTGCACATGCATTTGCGAATGCAGTTGAGAGAGATAGGGCGGCAATCGGTGGTCCAGTGCTTGGCCTTGCTGATTTTGACTGCAGCCTGGCCCTCAGATCGGAAGTGACATGGGAATCTTATGGAATCCTTAAGCTGAGTTCCAAGGCTGGAATGTTGGCATTGATCTAAGCCTTCTTTGTTGGAGTGTGGTTTTTGCGAGCTTCGCAGCGAGGTAAGCTACTCGGAAGCTTCGAAAATGGCCGAGTCTGAGCCTTGACTGCCTGACTGAAGCGATGCGCGAAGCACCCAACGCGAGACGCAGTGCGAGACATGCCGATACGCCGATACGCCTTGCAGCGCCTTGCAACTTGCCTTTCACTCTTCCACTGTAACTTGATTCAGGTCACGAAGCTCGGCTGATGGCTTCATCGTGGGTTCGCGCCCAAGCGCTTTGAATTGATGCAGCCTTTGCCATCGCCAGGCTCGTTTTGCATTCTGCTGGGTTCAGCACTGCGATTGCCCCAGCTCATGCGCATGCCATCGTCATGCCAACAAGTTTTGCTTCGATTCTGTTTGCCGTGTCCCTTTTCATTCCGCGCGAGAGGCGCGAAGCACCATAGCTCCCGATTTTCGAGGGGCAAGAGATGGCAAGAGATGGCAAGAGTCTGCAAAAAGTGATGCGCACGCAAAGCGCAACGACCTTCTGGAGCTTCCCTGCAGGTCAGGCCTGGGAGGTGCTATTGCGGAATGGATTCTGCAGAGGCGAGAGGCTATTGTTGCTTCGCGTGAAAACACTTGCAGTGAACACTTGAGCCATCTGCCCGTAAGAGTTTGAGAAGGAGAGAGAGCGAGGAAGCGCCGGGACAGCTACCTCTTCAGTTCGGAGATGGCGGTCCTCGGCAGTGCCCGGGGCTGAGAACATGTTCAACCTGCAACTTGCAATCCTCTGAAACTTGAAGCTGAAAAACCCAATCGATTCTTCACGATTCTTCAAGCTGTATATCGGTGTGATGCATGCACGCAATCGTAGGCAACGTTGGCAATTGTAGGAGGTGTTTGCTGCACATAGTTGCCGCCCCCCATCAGCAATTGCATTTGTCCCCTAGTCCAAAAAAAGGACCGCGATGGGAAGCGCAACTGGCATAGATAAAACAAATCCTGGAAAACACGCAAGAGAGAACCGAGGTCATCCTGCTGGTGCGTCCCGGCCTTCATTGCATGGCGTTCTTTGAGTCCGGCGCAATTCGTGACAAGGTCACGCCGTCGACCCGACAGGCTCAATACTCGGTGCATAAGCCGTCGGAAGAGATATCTTAAAAATACTTGCATTTTCTTGGTTCTTTCTTGTCCGCTTGCAAGGCGAGGGTCTCTTTCACCGTTGGACGCTGCTCACGCAGCTGGCCCAGAAGTTTTGTTGCAGAGCGCGCATTGAGAGTGAGCCTGCAGACGTAGTGCGAACACTTTTGCAGGTTTGTCCCTGTGCTCACACAGGGCTGGGGCGGCATCGTTGTGGGTCTCATTGCCAAAACTTCTGGCAGCGTCCGGAAAGGCCAGGGATGGCCAAAGGGGCATGGCCAGGGGCATGGGGCAGCGAGGAAGTTTGGTGTGGAGGCTTCGCAGTCATGGTGGGGCTGATCCTGTCCTGTGTCTGGTGCTTACTTCGGATTCTCTTCCTCTTTCCGTTCCAGCCGTTTTCTCCCTTTTCCTCCTGCGTGTCTCGTGTGAGCTTTTTGGATCTCTCCGCGTCTTCTCCAGTCTTCTCCAGTCTTGTTCCTTCTCATTCGCTTTTCTTCTCCTTTTCTCCTTAATTTCTGTCTTTACTTTCTCTTCTCTCTCCTTCTCTTTCTTCTTTTCCTTCTCTTTCTTCTCTTCTTCTCTCTCCTTTCTCTTTTTTTCTTCCCCTTCCTATCTCTTTCTTTCCTCTTTCCTCTTTCCTTCCTTTCTGTTTCGTCTCTTCTCTCCTAGGTCTTGAAGTGGCTGGTGGAGGGCGAGTCCCTGGGCTGGGCCACGCTGGTGGCCGTGCCGCTGGTGGCGGCGCGCGAGTCCGGAGAGAGAGAGGGAGACGGAGAGGGAGAAAGAAGAGAGAGAAGAGAGAGAACAGAATTTGTAAAGAAAAGAGTAAGCGGAATTCGTAAATAAAGAGAGATGAATAAAAACGAAAGGAGCGACACTGCGAAATGAAAACGAGAAAGCGGACGGAGAGAGACGGGAGAAAGAACCAGTCAGAAAGAGTCAGAAAGAGTCAAGACAGGAAGGAGTTAAAGAAACTCAAACCATGAGACTTCGAGACTTCGGAGAGAGAAGAGGAAAAAAAAGGCGAAAAGGAGGATGACATTGGAAAAGGAGGATGACATTGAAAAAGGAGAGATAAAGAGAGAGACCGGAGAGAGGAGAGAAAGCGGAAACCGTAAGAGGAAAGCCGTTCGGGGAACAAAGGGAAAGAAAACAAAAGAGCCGTTCCTTTAGGAGAGAAACGAGGAGAGAGGCAACACGAGAACGTGACGTTTGGGAAAAGAAACGAGAAGGTTTTCTTGCTTTTCACACCTTCTTCTCGCCCCTTTCGAAGGCGAGCATCTACCTCCACGCACGATACCCCCCAGCCGCCAAGCAGGCTTGAGGCACGCTAACCGAAGCAGTGCCAGAAAGAAACCAGAAGCCTCATGCTGACGGCTCACAGGTTGCTTTGCCCCAGGGGCAGAGCCTGAGCCTTGAGCCCCAAGAGGCACCGGGGAACCATCCGAGAAATCAGTGATCACTGCACAACAATATGAAGCAGCATTTGCAGCACATGTGAGACAAAAGGTGGGAGTCGGACAGTTTTGAGCAAAGGATCATGAAGCCAGACAGTTTCACTCTTCTGCATGGGCCTGCGTTGTCGATGTGTGCACCTCACACGTCGCATGCAGTGGAAGACAAAAACAATGCAAGGACGGCCCATACTGGCATTGAGCCCACGTTTTGCCCTCGACCATGCTAACGCCGCCCTGGCCAAATTTGGCATTGGTTCAAGCAGAACCGGTTCCTCTTGTGCAGTGAGGCGTCCCATCGTGCATGCGCACTGTGCAAGCGAACTCATTGCCGTGACAAGTTCAGCATGGTTGTGGCTGTGCAGGTCAAGATGCCTCCCAAATTTGTGAGTGATGGTTTCTTGTCCTGGACTGGGGGGTGGGAAAATGGCGGCAATTGCGAGTGCGTGCATTTCAAGGTGTGCACTTCAAGCATGCGTTCTGCTCCTTGAACGGCGGCAAGCTGGATGACTTCTACAAGGTGGAGACCAAGAAGAAGCTCGGCGAGGGCTCCTACGGCCGGAGACCCAGCCGGAGCCCGGCTCGGCGTTTCGCCCGAGCTCCGAGTGACTCCGAGTGACTCCGAATGACTCCGAATGACTCCGAATGACTCAGGCTCCGTGTCGAAAGGCGTGCACAAGTCCACGAACGCGTTGCGCGCCATCAAGGACGGGAAGAAAGCGAAAGGACACATGCAGCAAATGCAGTGCGCCGCGCACGCGGGAGCCTGCGGGAACCTGTTGAAACTGTTTCACGGTTTCCATTGAGATGCAGGCCATCGACCGAACGAAGATCGCCGATGGAGAACGCTTCCAGACTGAAGTTGACATCCAGTGTCTTGGCTGAGTGGTTGCACATGTGAGGGATGAATATAGCGCACTGAGCACAGGGAGATACAGGGAGCAAGAGGAATCCAGGAAGGAACAAGATACAGTTTGACCAGAGTCATTGAGCCGGGGCATACCCCAAGGTTTTGGGACGGGTGCAGATGTGGGAATGCTTTGCACGAGCCATGTGGCAAACTCCATCCGTTTGCTGCAGGTCTGCACTGGACCATCCCAACATCGTTAAGCTATACGAGGCTCAAGCTGTGTGGGAGTGCTTGTCACTACGGTCTTCGCCAGGTGTTTGTAGATGCCAAGAAGGCACGAAGTTGTGACCAAGTTGCAATACGTCCGAAGTGGCCATGTCGCCAGGTGTACTTGGTGATGGAGCTTTGCAATGGCGGGGAGCTTTTCGACCGCATCCTGGAAGAAGCTGAGAAGCACGAAGGCGCCGCAAGGGCCGCAAGGGCCCCATCAGGGCCCCATAAGGGCCCCATCAGGGCCCCATCAGGGCACCATCAGGGCCCCATCAGGGCCCCATCAGGGCACCATCAGGGCACCATAAGGGCACCATATATTCATGTTGCAACATGTGCAAACAAGTGCGCCATGTTACAAGTCGGTTCGCGCCCCCGACAGGAAATGACGCAGCACGGGCCTTCGATGAGCGCGGAGCGGCCGCTTGGGCTTTCTCTCAGCTCCGTGAAGTGGATGATATCGATGTCTTAAATCTTGAGAATTTCTGGCAGTGTTTTGGTTCTGGCTCGCAAGCAAGCCACAAGCAAGGCGACATATATGCAGCAGATCCTCGGGGCAATGAGCTGCCTGAGATATATGTATATTTGGTGACTGTGGCTTTGGTGCTTCCATTTTTGGTTCCATTCCGGCCCAATCCGTTCTGTTAGGCTATTTGCACAACAACGACTTTGTACACCGCGACATCAAGCCCGAGAATTTCCTGTTGCAGAATCGGGACCCTGACGCTGCTCGACTCGCAGGAAAGGCGTAGGCAAAGGTTTGGCGACAATGTGCACCGAGTGCCGTTTGTGTCTCGAGTGCCATTTGTTCTTGAGGCCCCTATCAAGGTCATTGACTTTGGCTTGGCCTCTCGGCGGAGCTGTGAGAGAAAGAGGAAAGGAGAGAGCATGAAATAAGAAAAGAAAATAAGAAGGAGGGAAGCAAGGAAGATGGAAGAGCAAAGCGATGAAGTTCAAGAAAACAAGATCAATGAGAAAAAACTCACAATGACTTGCACACGTGTAGGCGAAGCACCACAAGGTGGCCTCCGGCGAGAAGATGAAAACCAAGGCGAAGGGCGAAAGCCGGCTCAAAACGGTAAAGGAAGAACTTTGCAAGTCGGAAGTCGGAAGAGCGTTGCAAGACGCAACGAGCTGAGAAACGGACCCGAAACGAACGGGCTTCGTTTATGTCTTCGAATTCCGTGAGGCGGGGACGCCGTACTACGTGGCGCCGCAAGTGCTGGAGGGCTGCTACGTCCCTTCGGCTCTAGACAAACGTAATGCAAACCGGAGAAAACGTAAAGCACGTATTTACAAGCATGAGCAGAGCGTGTTTTCACTTTCTCAGACTCGAGGATGAGAAGTGCGACGTGTGGAGCTGCGGGGTGATTTGCTACATCCTCCTTTGCGGCTATCCGCCATTCTATGGGGACAGCCGTGCTTTTCACCGTTTCCTGAAATCTCGAATTTGTCGATGCAGGACACAGATCCTGATATTCTGCGAATGGCGGGGCTGGGAGTTGGGAGCGGGCGGAGAGTTTGAGCATGTTTGAGCTGTGAGGTGAAGAAGGGCGCCTTCACCTTTCCCCCGGAGGAGAAAAAACCCGCTGTTGCTCACACAGCCGCACACATGTGCAGGTGCATGGCTGCATGTACGACAAATTGAGGACTGGGACGACATCTCACCCGACGCCAAAGACTGCATCTCGCTGATGCTCACCTTCAACGCCGCCAAACGCCGCCTGACCTTGCTTTGGTTCTCCTGTTCCATCTAATTTCTTTCTCATTCCATCTTACGCGAAACATGAAGCCATGTTCATTGTGACCAAAGAAGGCGCACCCGGGTTGAACTCGAGCTTGTTCTTGGGCAAGTCCGTTTTGCACTTGGGGTCAGGCATGAGCTTTGCTTGTTGGAAGCTCACGCGACTTGCCGAGACTTGCTCTTCCCAATTGCTTCACCGTGTCTTTTCGAGGGCCCAGCGCGGCACAGATGCTGGAGCACCGGTGGCTGGACAAGAACGCAGAGGAGCGAAGTTCTGAGAGAATCTTCGGACGGAAAGTTCGGAAAGTCGGAGAACTCGGAAGCTCGGAATGGCTCGGAATGGCTCGGAACACGGATTTATGGAATCTGCCCTCACAGTGTCGCATTCGCGAGGCTCCCAAGGGCAAGCCGCCCAAGGACCTGCGCCTTGACGAGACTTGATCGATGTTCGAATCGCATTTCGTTCCGAGTTTTCAACTTACGACTTCATTTCATATCTTCGTTTCTGAGGTGCAGAAACTTGAAGAAGTTCAACGAGGGCTCCCGCATGAAGAAGGTTCGGGATCGGGACCTGTTTGGGTTCGCCGTTGACCGGGTCCCGACCGGGTCACGTCTCCGTCCAGATTTGTCGAAAGGCATCAATTTGAGCGTCGTGCCAAATTTGTTGCGGCTGTGTGTAGAGGTGGCGCTGACACTCATTGCGCAGCAGCTCAAGGATGAAGATCTCGAGCAACTCCGAACCACTTTCTTGGTGCTGGATAAGAATAAGGCGGGCGAGAACGAAGTTGGACACATTCAGTCGAGTCACTGAGATATTTGGAAACAAGCGCCAAGCCCAAACGATCTAAACGTCAAACAAAGCACAGCAAACACGCGTTACGAACACATCGGCTCGAGCTTAGGATGGTACACTCAGCATCGAAGAGATCCAAAAGGGCATCGCCGATTCGGCTCTGGAGATTCCACCGGACCTCATTGAAATCATGCAGCTAGGTTGCCTTATACTGCACATGGGCCCCCCAATCTCTCAGGTAAGTCCTCATGCGCATGCGCGGCTTTCTGTTGGCTGCGAGGTTGAATCTTGACACGGACGGTTCTGGAAACATTGACTACACAGAATTCATCGCGGCCACCTTGAGACAAGCTGGCATGGCTGAGACATGCCCACATGCCTGGCCTGTGCGCACATGCAAATGCGCCAGACCACAAGCAGTACCTCAAGAAGGAGGTGCTGTGGTCAGCCTTCAGGGTGTTCGACAAGGATGGCGATGGAAAAATCACCAAGCAAGAGCTTGGGGCCATTTTGAAGGAGCAAGCTGATGGGGAGGCCCAAGTGAAAGATAGAGCTTGCCAGAGAGAGAGAGAGATGAAAATGATCAAATCAGGCAATCCGGGACATGGTCTCGGAAGTCGACTTGGATGGCGATGGCGAGATTTCATTCGATGAGTTTGCAACTGGGACGGGCATGGGAAAGGCACAAGGGGCTCCGAGGGACGTTGTGGCATCGTTGCAAAGGTAAAGATGATGGAGAAGGGCGTCGATTTGAAGTAGGCTCGGTGCGCTTGTTTGGCCCCTTGAGTTGCGAGTTAAAGGAGCTCATGGGAGCGAGAAGCCAGCGTGAAGAGCAAGAAGTGTGAGAAGTGCGAGAGATGGAGAAGCATCCATTCTCAAGCGCAAGCGAAACAAAAGTAACCGCCAAACGCATGAATATTCTCACCGCGTGTCACGAGTGTCTCACCGGACAGGACTGAGCCGAGCGGAAACTGATGCGTTCCCTCGTGAAAGCTCCAAGCCAACAAATTCGATAGTTCGAGTGAGGAAAGCACACCAAAAAAACATTGCTTCTGGTATCCAGTTTCGATTTTGGTTTTGGTCTCAGCAGGCCATGCCGTATGCCCGATTCAAGACGTCCGCTTTAGTCCGCAAGCTGTGTTCTATGCCCATGTCGCAATGGCTCAAGAGTCTTTCGATGCCCGAGCCCGAGCTCGAGCTCGAGCCCGACGAGCTGGACGAGCTCGAGGTGTGGCGTGCGGCGGCGCGAGAGCTGCGGGGCTCAGCTCGGAGCTGGCTGCAGCAGGCGCCGGGCTTCGTGCGGGCGGACCGCGTCTGCGTGGAGTGCGCGGTGCAAAAGGACGGCTTGGCCTTGGAGTGGGCGGACGGAAAGCTGAAGGCGGACGAGTCTCTTGTGCTCAGCGCTGTGCGCAAAGGTGCCTTTGCCCTGGCGCACGCGGCTGCCCGGCTCCGCTCCGACCGGCGCTTCGTGCTGCAGGCTGTGCGAGCGAATGGCTACGCACTGGCCTGCGCCCAAAAGTTCCAAAACGACCGGGAGGTCGTCCTCACAGCCGTCAGCGAAGACGGAAGCGCCTTAGAATACGCTTCTGAACAACTCAGGCGTGATAAGACTGTGGCCTTGACAGCAGCCAGCAGTGACTCTGCACTTGAGCATGTCCATTCAAGCCTTTGGCGCAGTCGAGATTTCGTCAGAGCCGTGCTAGAAAGGAATGAAGCTGCGTGGGAATTCATTGGATCAGAACTGCAGGCAGACCGAAGCTTGCTGCTGGAGGTGGTTTGTTTGAACCCTCGAGTGCTGGATCAAATCGAGCATTTGGACCAGAGCTTTTTGGTCGAGGTCTTGGGCCGCAACGCGTCTTGCCTCCAGCACCTCGAGAAGTTCCAGCTCAGCGACGAGGTGCTGCTCAAGGCTTTGGAAAGGAACAAGCGTCTGCTGGAATTTTTCCGCTTCGATGCGACGCTGCTGCTCTCTGCCGTTGAAGTGGCTGCGGAGGCCTTTGATTTTGCCCCAATCCGAATGAAGGATGACCCCGACCTCGTGAGAGAGCTTTCTCGCAAGAGTGCGGCAACACTGCAATATGCCAGCCTTTCTCTACAACAGGACGAGGCATTTATCCTACAGTTGATCGAGCAGAACCCTGCCTGCTTGCAATTTTCTTCTCTTGTTTGCCGGGAGTTCAACCTGTCCGCACTCAGAAGAAATTGTGATGCAAGGCGCTACATCGCCCAAGAGTATTGGGAGGATGCCAGCTTTGCCTTAGAGGCCCTGAAGATAAACGAGTTGGCGCTGGAGCATGTGTCTGAGAACATGCTTGCACAGAAACAGTTTGGGTTCCAGGCGGTTGGGCTGCGTGGGTCTGCGCTGAGGTTCTTGGGCGGTAACCTCAGAGACAATGTGCTGGTCGTTGCTGCTGCTGCGGAAGACAATCCGTGGGCCCTGCGGTGGGCTGGGCCGACCTGTGGCGGCCGGATCGACCTGTGGCGCCGGGCAGTGCGGCTGGACGGTGAGGTCTTGCAGCTGCTGCCCGAATCTTCGGAGTCCTTGGAGTCGGCGTCGCGGGATGACGCGGCCTTGGTGCTGGCAGCCACGCGGGCCACGCCTCGGGCCTTCCGCTTCGCCTCGGAGCGCCTGCTCCGAGATCCGGCCGTCCTGTGGGAGGCCCTGAAGCTAGGGGCGGCTGAGGCTTTCGAGGCTCTCAGGCTCGGGCACGGGCAGCTCAGCGCATGCCTCCATTTCCCCCAGGCTGCCCAGGCTGCGGAGGACGAGGGTGTGCTGCTCTCAGCGATCGCGCAGAACGGGGCGGTGCTGGGCTTCGCGTACGGACGCGGAGACAGCAGACACATCCCGCTGCGGGAGAGAAGGAGCTTTGTGGCGGCCGCGGTGGCACGAAACCCTGCAGCTCTGGACCACGCCCCCAGAAGTTTTCACAGCGACCCTACTTTGCTCCGGGCTGCGCCCCGCTTTCCCACAGCTTGCTTTGATCCGGAAGGCTCGTGTAGCAAGTCAAGTCGTGTTGCGTTAGCGCCTCGTTGCAAAGCGCTCAGAAGCTGAGTCTTTGAGTTCTTCAAGTGTCTTTCAGGCCTTGTGCGCGAGCTGCAGCGCGTGGCAGCTGGACTGAGCGGCCGGGGGGCCTTGGAGCGCGGCGTCGGCTTGACCTTAGGCGGCTCGAGCAGCCGGGTGCTGTTCGCTGTGCTGGAGCTGGCGCGCCTGGAGCAGCTTGGGTGCGACAGCCTGCAGAAAGAGTGCGTCCTGCTTGGCCTCCCACCAGAATGCTTGGACTGGTATGGCGCCAACTTCTTGGTCAGGCGCCTGAAGCAGCTGGCGCTGTGGAAGGAGAGCGTTGGAAATCGAAATCCGGTCCTTGAGAAGAAGTGGACTTCCGCATGGGTCGCCTTGCAGAAGCCTTCCCCATTTTCCAGAAACAACTTACTCGCGGAAGGGGTGCGGAAGCGCTCATTGCGCAGGTCATGGTAAACGCTTCGCGCTGGCTGCCTTGGCCAGTATCAGCCGGTTTCACTTGGTTGGCTCTGTATAGTGTCCTTGACGTGCCGTGTTTTCTGAGTGAGGCTCCGCAATGGATGTGTGGGTGCATCTTCACTCCGACCCAAGGGCCAGAACTAGAGCCGCAGTCCACGGTTGGAGCGCGGACAAGAGGCCATTGGCCACCAATGCTTGACAAGCCACGTCCAAGGGATGGGCTGCCGCGCTGAAGCTCAGTCTTATCCTGACAGCTTCGCAAGACATGAAGTGCCGCACTGGCTGACAGGCCTTGCAAGACATGAAGCCGGCAGCCCCCACAAGCAGAACCTCAAGCCTTTCTGCAGTGCCGGGATAGAAGGGACCTTCGCCATGGCGCTGTCCAATCTCTGAGGATGTCCAGTCTTCCCACCGCCCAGCAAGTTCTCCAAATCCACCGATGTAATCTCGGACCAGCAACCTTGCTGCGGCCGCTGCGCTCGTGCCCGTTGTCGTTGACACCTTCGCTTGTAGCCACCTTCACAGACACGACCGCTTGTAGCCAAAGAGAGGAAGCTTTCCCTGACGACCTACGGCAAGGAGATCGGCCAAGTCTGTTTGGGCGCAGTCGGGTTCTGCTTCGAGCAGTGCCTACCTTCTGAATAGGATCTACGACAACTGCGGCAAGCGGAGATGAACATCCGAGAAGGCAACTACTCAGAGGCCTCAAGAACTACCGCCAGATGACCCTTTCGAAGAAGACTTCGGCAACGTGGAAGTCCCCATTGAGAACGAAGGTCCAGCGCAACAACCTCAAGCCCCTTTTCTTCCACCACTGGATCCCCATCCACAAGCATCTCAACCGCCAGACCAAGCAGAACCCAGACCTCGCCTTACACTACCGCCTACTACAAACAACCGCAATTTTGGGACCAACCTCAAAAGAAGAAGAGACACCGCGGCGTATCCATTTCAGTCTGTGTCACGGACCCCTGGCAGAAGGACATCAACACCGGCACTTCCACCCACACCAACTCCTCACCTACCGCCAGCAATTCCAGAACCACCTTAACCGCCATCGTCGACTACGGCAAGATCGGATCCGTCCGCCCCCATTGACCTCATTGTGCCTATCGCACCAGATGAACCTGATCCACTACTACCAGCAAATGCAGGTGATCCACCACAGCAACGACAACTTGGACATGTTCGAGGCTTTGAAGACCGATGAAGTCGTCCCGCCCCTCGACGGCAACTATGCCCGCTGGGAGAGGTGCGAGAAGGATTCGACGACCTACCAGACCACCGCACGAAGAGGACCTCCTTGGTCGAAAGTTGCCTGGAAGCGTCTATACGGACAAAGTTACGATATATTAGTATTAACAATTTGACATAGCACAAAATGCTAAAAGAAATGGGAACGCCGTGAAAATCAGTTAATTCGTTTCTTGAAGTTGTTATTCTAAAGTGTGGTCTCTTTATATTTTTACCACCTACATCAATGAAGTCTGCGTATATGGGGGCTGCAAAATCTGTTATAACTCCGCCGAGTTGTTGATTGATTTGAATTTTTTAATTACTGAACAGCTGAAATTATTAGGCGCTGAATATTTGTAGTCGCTTAACTGAGGACAGTTAATTGAAAGGGGAAAAGGTTAAAATACCAAGTTAACCAAGATGTCGCAGGTTCATATATTTCATAATTTCTTAATAAACAACATATTCAATCTGTCCTCTATTCCATTCGCCATTTACATAAGTTTCTAATTCTTCGTCGCTTGCTATTTTGATTTTGTAATTGATAGGGTCGTTTAGTTTTAGTTCCATACATCTCTCACTCTGGCCATATACTGTTTTCGAATAAGTCAGGGGTAATGTCATTAAATGCTGTGTTTAATTCTAATTGTATTTTGAATGATAATGTGCGTAATAAATTTCACCGGACACATCAACGGCTGTGCTTCTTAATAAAACATTCGAGTTGTCATAAAGCATTACATACATGAATTCATAAAACACTTTCTCTGTTGTATAAAACGGAGTGCTGCATCAACACTCTGTCACAAGCATTTTTGTTCTGGGTGGAAATTCAAATGTTGCGAAAGATATAAAGACGCAATAGAAGAATTAAGGAAAATCCGGATGTTGATAGAATCAATTGAATTGTATCCCATTCCCTTGGCTCGTTGCGCAGGAAATCAAAAACAGACATGGAAGCAAATATGCTACTAGTGTTTTTGATTTCTATTCATCACCTTTTGTATCAGGAATTAATCAACAGAAAAATTGCGCGATACGACTTAGACACCGCGGAGATCCTATAGCAATGTTTGATGACGCGGCGATAACTGGAGAAATAGAAAGCAACAACTTATTAGACACACACAGTTTCAATAATTGGGCAGGGCAAGGGGAAACCCCTATTGCACCTACGACCAACATAAGTAATGGATTTGACCTAAACGGGCTTAAAGAATAAGAAAGTATAACAAAGTAATGGATTGTTCCAAGTCAAAGATGTATAAATTGTACATCAATGTTGATGATGAGTTCTATATAGGCTCTACCTGCATGAAACTTGCAAGGCAAATCGCGAGACATAGGTCAGCAAGTAGTCAATAAACTTTTAAGAATCAAATTCTGTATATCAAAATGAATGACATTGGTAAAACCAAATTCTTCATAGAATTACTTGAGGAATACCCGTGTGAAAATATTGAGTAATTGGGGCGAAGGGAAGGAGAATATATTTAATAACTGCGACCAACATTAAATAAAAAATTGCCGGGTAGGAGATGAAAAGAATATCATATTGACAACAAGGAGCATACACAAGAACGCACCGGCATATACGCTGAACAACACAGAGGAAAGAATGCAGTCATATTACCAACAGGAAGACAATAAAGCGCGGCAACTGGAATGAAAATAGCAAATTGTGAATGTGGGATGGACATACGAAGAAGTAGTCTTGTGCGCCATAAAAGGCGGCAAAACCATTTAACAGCAATGGAACAACTTTAAGCATTCTTAATATTATTTCTATATAGTTTTCATGATGTATAGGAACAAAGACAAGCAAAACAAAATTCCATTAGAGAAGAAACTGACAAAATAACCTACAAGATACGATAAACATTATAAGAACTTAGTTTATGATACTATAAAAGATATAGTTGACAAAAACATGATTATTTAAATAAATACTTTAGAACATACAACTTCAAATAATTCTACTACAATGCTTCCACATAAGAAAAATCAAAATTTAAAAATAAATGCTAAGTTTATCAAAACGAAGTAAAGCATAATACAATTGCAAAAAGTGAGCCTACAATGGTTAACTCATGAAGTTCTGGACTTCCAGAAACGGCAGAATATATCACGGACAGAAGGCACGTTAATTATTTTGTACCGGCAGCAATGTTTATAATCCAAATGCAGGAAACAAAAATATTAGATGTCATATATCCGGAGAAGACAACACATATATTGATTTATCAAGTATTCGTTTATTCAATACACTGACGGAACACGAAGCCATGTTTTACGACCGTTAGGTAGTTTGTCCTTCTTCAGTCGTTATAGATGCGCTGTAGGTGGGCAACAAGTGCAAGATATTATTGAATACAATAGACATTGCGAATTGTCTGATTCCTTTAAGAGTCAAGATGCTAGGGATATGGACGACTTAGAAAGTAGTGCTAGTCCTCGTTGGGATGACTGGCGACATACTTATGCTACCGGATTAGCAGAAATGTTAGATATTGATAAACGAACCAATTTCGCTGCCGATCCCGCGGAAGTTACATTTGCAACAACACGAGACCATAACACTTGGGGCGATTTAACAGCACGCTATACTCGCCATTCAGGCGCAGGAACTCCCTTGTAGTGTGACTGATGCAAACACTCAAAATGACGCGTCTGGTTACTATTTCACAACTGGTGTCACCAAATGGGAATTCAATAATGTAATTCTACGAGCCGAGTTAATTCAATTGGACAACACAGTCAATAATATTATAGTGAAACATTTGTTAGAGGGTTAAAGTTTGAAATTAGTATTCTCAATGTATCACATTATGACGCAATCATTCAACGCGACAGGAACTGAAATTAATATGAATATTGCTAAATCCGCTTCTAAATTAAACGGTTGTTTCATTACTCTGTATCGTTCTCCAAGGGCAGGTGTTATTACGGATGATGACAACGCCAATTATTGCAGACAAGACAACTACATCTACAAACGATGGAATTATTTGTATAATCCTACGATTAACACGTATTTTTGATGGCCCTAATGCAGATGGTGCTGGTCGCGCGGCATACCAAGGCAAAGGGCTTCAGAATTCCGACTGGGATTTAACTTGGCAGTTCCAGATAACAATAAGAAATATCAAGAGTTTGAATGTCAATCACTGGCAGAAACCGCGTATTACGTAAGACGAACATTTAGAGAAGATAAATTTGCTATTGGGATTTCATTTGAAAAGATGACAGACACCAATTTCTCACTGGCCAGAGAACCAACGGACCGCTGACAACTGATGAAGATGTGCGAGAATTATTTGTACATATGATTTCGGAATCTGGCTTGGAATTAAGAGAGTCCGGGAGAATTTTGTATGATTAAAATTTGAATAAACTATATATATATATATAAATGTATCGTCGTTACAAGAAGAATGCGAAGGAAACATAAAGGTAATATATTTTTACAATCCTCACAAATTAAGTATAGTCCATTTGATATGAAACATAAAAAGCATCTAAAACATCTACATGAACAGGTAAAGTTGAGAAACTCACAAGAAGCATCAGTAGCATGAAGAAAGAAAATTGAAGAAGGAAATCAGAGAGCAAACTATGTAAATGAG